ACCAAGGATTCTCACCATCCGGCAAGCCGCAGCTCGAGCAAGCAGAGCGCCAACGCCGACTCACGGTATCGAATGTCCCAATTGTAGGGTTCTTAAGGGAGGGTTCAGGGTTTCGGGTTTAGGGTTTAGGGCTTAGGGTTTTGGGTGTAGAGTTTAGGGTTTAGGTATCGAATCCTCCAACCTTAGGGCCTAAGAGAACCCTAAAAACGTTTCTGGTTCAGATATTTAACAAAAGAACCCTAAAAGGGTTTATGGCTCATATACTTGACAAAAGAACCCTAAAAAGGTTTCTGGTTCAGATATTTAACAAGCGAACCCTAAAATACCAAAAAGGGTTTATGGTTCATATCTTAGCAGAACCTAAAAGGGCTTTATGGTCTAAACAAGGAGAGTCCTTAATCTCCTTCCAGTATTTTCAACCCCCCACCCACCCCCTAGCAGTAAGTATCCCTCATACACTATCATATTACAGGAAAGGCTATACTTAAGCGAGTATTTAATGGTAAGGGTTAGGGGTTCAATATTAGAGGGGAAGATTGCAGATGCTACCCTTTAGATCTACAGTACAAACCTTGTGATTGCGGACGGAATGTGTCCCAGCAGGTCTAGATGTTGTTGGTCCCACTTTCCCTACACATATTTGGATCCTAGAATTTTCGGCAACTCCAGACCCCAAACCATCTGAAACCTTGAGCCCTAAATCTTAAACCGTAAGCCCTAGGCCCGAAAGACCCAAACCCGAAGCCCTGGGCCCGAAGCCCTGAAGAGGGTTTGGGGTTTAGGGTTTAGGGTTTCGGGTTTAGGGTTTTGCATTGTTGCTTTGAACAGTTGCAGGCTCGGGGCAGATACCTCGGGGAAGTGCCCAAATGGTATGTATGCTCGTATACATGAATCACTAAATACACATAATGATATATTTGTTCACTTACATATATATATATATATATACATCTGTATAGACATTATACATAGATGTATATACATATGTACATCTTGTACATATACATAATACATATGCATGTATAGTATACATGTACATATACATATACATGTACATGTACATATCCATATCCATATGCATATACATATGCATATACATATACATATATATAGCCTGGCTTCCAGTACGGGAGTGAAGGTAGGTACAGGTCGTTTTCTTTCTTTGGCCGCCGAGGATTCTCGCCAAGTGGGAGACCGCAGCTCCAGCCGGAACAGCGCCAACGCCGACTCCCCACATTAAAGAAAGGGTTTAGGGTTTAGGGTTTAGGGATTAGGGTTGAGGGTTTAGGGTTTCGGGTTAAGAAACCAAACTCAAGCTGAATTCCTACAGGTTCAGGGGTTTTCGGGTTTAAGGGTTTAGGGGTTTAGGGGTTTAGGGGTTTAGGGGTTTAGGTTTAAGGTTTAGGGTTTATGGAGTTTGGGGGCGTAAGGGGATCCAGCATTGAAGACTATAAGCTTAAGCCAGTACATCCCTAAGATCTTAAGAAGAACCTCCCGGACGAAAGGAACTCCGAACGGTTGCGATTGTGATCCTACGGTTTAGGGTTTAGGGTTTAGGGTTTAGGGTTTAGGGTTTAGGGTTTAGGGTTTTAGGGTTTAGGGGTTTAGGGTTTAGGGTTTAGGGTTTAGGGTTTAGGGTTTGGGGTACCCTCCCACCATGTCCAAGGCTAGTTCTGCTACTCACGCCCTGGGGGCCAGTGCCCCATCGGCTACTCACGCCCTGGGGGCCAGTCCCCCGTCGGGCTCTAACCACCTGAGTCCGGATGCTTGGCTCTGAACCGAGGGACCCAAAGGGTTTAGGGTTTAGGGTTTAGGGTTTAGGGGTTTAGGCCTAACCCTAAACCCTGAACCCTAAACCCTTAAGGCTGTGAAGTCTTTGTTTTGGTTTAGGGGCTTGCGTCCGTAGGTGGTGTTAAGTACACCTATGGTCCCCAAAGCAATCGTGGATTTAGTTTTGATCTTTAAGCCTCCAATGTACGACGTGTACGTAAAGATCTATGTTTCATTGTGAGCTCTCAGACAAGTTCGAAGTTGGGGAGGTATCCCTAAACCCTAAACCCTAGACCCTAGACTCTAAACCCTAAACCCTAAACCCTAAACCCTAAACCCTAAACCCTAGACCCTAGACCCTAAACCCTAAACCCTGAGGGGTACATGCAGGTTGTATATGCTCTGTTTCTGGCAGCCTAGGACGCCCAGCACCTCTCTGGACGCACCTCCAGCCGAAACAGCGCCCACAGCCCCCAGCGCCGCCACAGCAACGCCAGCAAGCGCTCTGCCGACGAGAGCTCCCGGGATCCTTGGCTTTCGAATGGCTGGCTCTCAGAGGACTTGTAGGGTTTAGGGTTCAGGGTTCACGGTTTAGGGTTTAGGGTTTAGGGTTTAGGGTTTAGGACTTCAACCTTTTTGGGGCTTTTTGGTAGAAACTACAAGTAAGGAGCAAGCCTCAATGCTACTTTTCGGAAGGGTTCGGAGTTCAGCCAAGGAACATTCCAGGGATCCCCGGTCCCGGAGTCCGGGGTCTCAGAGAGGAGCCTCCTGAGAGCGGAGTGATTTGGGTTTTAAGGTTTAGGGTTTAGGGTTTAGGGTATAGGGCTTGGTGCGCTCTGAGCCGCCCTGACTTGCGCCGAGTTTTTGTCAAGCGTCCAAGAGCCAGCAAGGGCCGACCGTCCTGTTCTTCATGAGCAGGCGTGGGGTGTACCCTAAACCTTAAACCCTAAACCCTAAACCCTAAAACCTAAACCCTAAACCCTAAACCCTAAACCCTAAACCCTAAACCCTAAACCCCCTAAACCCTAGGGGTAGAAGGTTGAGGGTGGTGTGTCGGAACCAAATCAAGTCTACAGGAGAGTCATTGCTACCGTCAGAGTTCTGAACTCACGGCACCGCTTGACGGCTCTTTGAGGCTTCTTGGAAACATTCCTGTCCCATGTACCTGCGTGGTGTACACTTTGGCGTTGGAAGGAGTTCCCCTACCACAGCTTCAGCGCCCAAGTAGATGCTAAAAGTATCCCTACCTTATTCGGCTTCATTATAAGGGGGTTTATATAGGATATCCCTATCCTAGTTTTTGCTTATGTGCTTTATTGTGCTTTGTTGGGGCCCTGTACATGGACCGTTGCGGACTGCGACAACTCGAGCCTGTTTGGGGCTTGACGTGACAAGTCTCTGTTGCCAGACTTGCTGTACCAAACCTGCTCGTACTTCGGAAGTACGATCAACGCAGAGCCGTAGCCCTAAACCCTAAACCCTTGACCGTAAACCCTAAACCTCATAAACCCTAAACTAGCATAAGCCCTAAGCCCTCAACCCTAAAGCCCTCTAAACCTAAGCCCTCAACCCTACACCCTAAACCCCGCCCGAATCTCCAGACCCGAAGCCCCATATGGAGCCCGAAATGTCAGGGAACTGCTACCGTATGTTTGAGTCAAGAAGTCTTCCAGTTGGAGTCTTTAGAGTTAAGTGTGCGACCCTAAACCCTGAACCCTAAACCCTAAACCCTAAACCCTAAACCCTAAACTCAGACAAGGTTATCGGGGCCTGCAAGCGAGGTCTCATGTTTTTCTTGCGCTCCAGGGAGGTAACGCTGGAGGGTAGGGCGAAGAATTGTGAACGGGTGTTTACACCCCCCCCCCCCCCAGCCCTAAGCCCTAAACCCTAAACCCTAAACCCTAAACCCTAAACCCTAAACCCGGCGAAACCCCAGCGCATCCCTTGGAGTGACCCTTGGAGTGACCCAAGATTTGTTGCTGCTGCCGCCGGCTCAACTCGGCACCTGCCAAGCAGTCTTCTGTGCCTTGAGTCCGAGTCTCTCCGCGTGCAAATCGGCTCGAGTTCTGTTGTGAACCCCACACTGCTCTACACCCATACAGCCTAAGCCCTAAACCCTAAACTCTAAACCCTAAACCCTAAATCCTAAACCCTAAACCCTAAACCCTAAACCCTAAACCCTAAACCCTAAACCCTAAACCCTAAACCCTAAACCCTAACCTAAACCCTAAACCCTAAACCCTAAACCCTAAACCCTAAACCCTAAACCCTAAACCCTAAACCCTAAACCCTAAACCCTAAACCCTAAACCCTAAACCCTAAACCCTAAACCCTAAACCCTAAACCCTAACCCTAAGCCCTAAGCCCTAAGCCCTAAGCCCTAACCCCCAAACCCGAATAAGGGTGGGGCCGTAAACTTTCAAGATGTCACGCTCCGGGACTCAAAGGCCCAAGCCCTACCTGCATAACCCAACACCCTACTTTTTTCATTGTAGGTCCCCTAAGAATTCTATAAGGGTTTCGGGCTTAGAGCTTAGGGTTAGGGTTTAGGGTTTAGGGTTTAGGGTTTAGGGTTTAGGGTTTAGGGTTTAGGGTTTAGGGTTTAGGGTTTAGGGTTTAGGGTTTAGGGTTTAGGATTTAGGGTTTAGGGTTTAGGGTTTAGGGTTTAGGGTTTGGGGTTTAGGGTTTAGGGTTTAGGGTAAGTAGGTTTTGGGCTTAAGGTAGACCCCAAACTGCGGAGACGACTTGCTGGAGGTGGCCATCCCTGAGCTTCCGTGCGTGGGGTCAAAGGAGCATGGGGTTGGGGTTTGGGGTTTGGGGTTTAGGGTTTAGGGTTTAGGGTTTAGGGTTTAGGGTTTAGGGTTTAGGGTTTAGGGTTTAGGGTTTAGGGTTCGGGTATACACGGTTTATAGGGTTTTTTGGTTTTTTTAGGGTTTGTTAGGGTTTGTTAGGGTTTATAAAGGTTTCATAGCGTTTGTTCGGGTTTTATAGGGTTTATGGGGTTTATAGGGGTTGGGGTTCAGGGTTTGGTCGAGTGTAGAGGGTTCCCGCACTATGCTTTCTGTAGCTGTGCACGTGGGAATTCGCGAACTTACTTGTCGCACTTGTAACCCAATCTGAGGTGCTTGCCCTTCGACCTAAACCCCAAAGCCTAAACCCTAAACCCTAGACTAAACCCTAAACCTGAAACCCTACACTAAGTCTTAAAACGCCCAGACTTGTGCACGCAGGCATTCCAAGCAGAGATGGACGAGTGGAGGCGGCGTAGCGCGGGTCCCGGAATGGGGTTGTGTGATAAACCTTAAACCCTAAACCTGAAACCCTTTAGGGTTTAGGGTTTAGGGTTTAGGGTTTAGGGTTCAGGGTTTAGGGTTTAGGGTTTAGGGTTTAGGGTTTAGGGTGCGGCTTGCTTGGCTTCCGTTGGAGGTTCCTAGGGCCCTTACCTCCCCTGAACCCTAAAAATGAAACCTTAGACCCCCTAGGGCTCTAGAGCCTGCTCTTCGGTTCCAGGGTTTAGGGTTTAGGGTTTAGGGTTTTAGGGTTTAGGGTTTAGGGAGCTTTCGCTTTGGGTACATGCCTGGGTAATTTTCATTCAGTATACCATCAGGCCGACGCAACTAACGTGCAGTGCAACTAGCCTCTCAGAGCATTTGGGAGATGGTATCCTGCTGCGTAATGAGAGTCAGACACTTCAACACCTGCCTGCCCGACTCAGACGGCGTGCCGGGAGATGCGAAAGTCTTCAGCATCACAGGAGCCCGTATTCTTAGAGGGGCAGAGATCATCCTGCGTTGTTATCCTGCACTGTTTCGAACGCCAGCCCTAAACCCTAAACCCTAAACCCTAACCCCCAAGCCCCAAACCCTAAACCCTAAACCCTAAACTGTTTCGCTGAACTTCTGCGTCTTCGGTTGAAAAGCGAAGTGATCAGCTTCCGCAAAATGAAGGGCCCAGGTCATTCTTCTCAAGTTCTACATGCTTAGGCGCTATCGGGTTTAGTAAGGATACATTCGGAGCGCCGCATAAGGTATATCCGAACGTGAGGTCAACGAAAGCAAAGGATCCGTGTGGGTAGCTCTTTAAATGAGGCTCCCTGGGGATACCTTTTATTTGGTGCCGCCTTGTTCTGGGTACCCAAAAATAGGCACCCTAATTTAGGAAACTGCCCATGTACCGATGGAGTAGATATTGGAGATACTTTGGAGCGCCCTCCAAAACTGCAAAATCCTCAAAATCCCAAGCCCTAAAGCGCTCAACACAACAACCTTATTCCCCCCCCCCTCCCCCCTGCCCCTTCTAAACCCTAATGCTCGTGAGCCACTGGCCTCTTAAATCTCACAAACCCAAAGCAACCAAAAAGCGTTCCCCATGAAAGTGCCTGGGCTGCTGTTGGCTGCTTCCTAGGTAGGATAAGGGAGACCCTTGAGAGGGAGCCCTTCTTAACCCTCTTCTGGCTCTTTAAACAGGGTTTAGGGCTTAGGGTTTAGGGTTTAGGGTTTAGGGTTTAGGGTTTAGGGACCTGATTCAGAGGGTCTATATCCGCAAGGGTCCCCCGAATCAATCCCCTACTGGTGGAGCCGCGAGCCTGACGGCCTTCAAACTTACTGGCTCCTATATTTGGGTTTAGGGTTTGGGGATTAGGGTTCCTGGTAACCCTAAACCCTAACCCCAAACCCTAAACCCTAAGTTTTAGGGTTTTAGGGCGTAGAGTTTAGGACCAGGACACGGAGAAGGCCTAGAGTTCCCTCATCAGCCTCTCTAAACCAAAACGGCTACCCTTTTTTGTTCCTAGGTTCCTCTTGTGTCTAGTATAGGGAGCCCCAGCGAGGGGTTCGTAGGGGTTTAGGGTTTAGGGTTTAGGGTTTAGGGTTTAGGGTTTAGGGTTTAGGGTTTAGGGTTTAGGGTTTAGGGTTTAGGGTTTAGGGTTTAGGGCCTTTGGGTCTGAAGGGTCTTGAGATGTCTTGAGTGTCTTAAGTCGGAGATGTCTGGGCCCCACACGTTCAATGTTTGGGTCTACGGTCTACAGGGTGGGGCCCCCTAGTTATAAGTAGAGTTATAAGGGCCCTAAATTGGGTTATAAGGACCCTAAGTTAGGTTAGAAGTCCCTTAACTACAGTTAGTATAGTAAGGGGGCCCCACCCTGTAGGGTTTGGACCCTAAATCCTCATACCTTCACCCGGGTTGACCTACCTTGAAAACCCCCTGAACCAACAATGCCTTGAAGTGTCCGAAGTTTCCCTACTTGCAAGAACAACTCTAAATTCCTCTTTGGTTTTCCCGGGCCTAAACCCTAAACCCTAAACCCTAAACCCTAAAGCCTAAAGCCTAAAGGTTTCAGTCATCTGGGACCAGGGCATGCCCCTGGGTGGAGGAGCTTTTCCTGGTGTTCGCAAAGCGCTGGTAGCCAGAGGCACATGGGCTTTAGGGTTTAGGGTTCAGGGTTTAGGGTTTTAGGGACAGGGGTGAGGTCGGAGGCTTGTCTGGCCCACCAGTTCTTGGTAGGGAATGAGGCAGTTAGAATTCCTTCATTCCCCTACTCAGAACAAGAATCGGCATGTATAGATCTCTGCGCCTCTTCTTCACTCGGGCCACTCTTCCTGCTTCCTCTGAAACGTATACCGTTGAGGCCAGGGTTTAGGGTGTTAGGGTAAGGATTTTGGGCCCCAGCCCTAAATCCTAAACTCCAATAGACTGGGAACAGCTGGCTCCATCCCCCTGCCAGGCTGGCATGAGAATGAAGATCGGCAAAGTCCATGCTGGGACAGCGCAGCGGGGGGGGGGGGGGGGGGGGTTGTGAACGGTTGTGGCTTCGGGTTCGGCAGCTTCGGATAACCCTAAGCTCTGAAGCCTATAAACCCTTAACAGGGTCGGGGCGGGGGGGGGGGGGTATTTGCCGCTGCATCGACACTCCAGTTTGCCATGTATCCAGGAAAAGGATGACTTTGATCACTTCCGTCAACCCTATCCCCGCCTAAACCCTTAATTAACCCTAAACCCTGAATACTAAACCCGATACTTCTAATTAACCCTAACCCGAAACCCGAACCCCGAAACCCGAAACCCTAAACCCTAAACCCCAAACCCCAAACCCCAAACCCCAAACCCCAAACCCCAAACCCTAAACCCTAAACCCTAAACCCTAAACCCTAAACCCTAAACCCTAAACCCTTTCCCTAAGCCCTAAACCCGAAACCCTATCCCTAAACCCTATACTTCTAACCCTAAACCCGAAACCCTTTATAAACCCTATCCCTAAACCCTAAACCCTAAACCCTAAACCCTAAACCCTAAACCCTAAACCCTAAACCCTAAACCCTAAATCCGAAGCAGGACCTCCGCTACGCCCTCTGGCAGCGGGACCTGGGGGAGATGAACGACTTGGACGACTGCCAGGACGGGTTCAGGGTTTAGGGTTTACAGGGTGGGGCCCCCTAGTTATAAGTAGAGTTATAAGGGCCCTAAATTGGGTTATAAGGGCCCTAAGTTAGGTTATAAGTCCCTTAACTACAGTTAGTATAGTAAGGGGGCCCCACCCTGTAGGGTTTAGGGTTTAGGGTTTAGGGTTTAGGGTTTAGGGTTGCCCATACGTGGGGAAACCCTTTTATGCCCCTGATATACCCCTTACAACCCAAGGGCCCATACTTTAGAACCCTTAACAAAATGTAAGGGGGACCATACTAAGGTAACTACCCCATTACTGTCTGCGTGAGTGTGAGTTACTTTGGTAGTCAAGCCTTTTAGCACTGGAGCGCCAGTGGTCCCTGAAGGTTGTGTATCTGCTTGTTCTGGGCTTTCTTGGGGTTTTGTGTCCTGCAGCCCTTGCGGCGTAAGTTTCAGCGACTGATTCTTTTCTGTCTTCTATAGGAGAAGGTTTTCCAGGGTTCTGGATCCCAAAACGTACAACACTACGTAGGCAGAAGCAACGACAATCAAAAGATGTTCCCTCGCCATGAATGGGAAAACCTGGGGGAACAAGAGCCTTAAATCAGTGATGACCATGGTTTATATTTATGTTTCTGGTGGGTGTGAAAAAAGTCTAAATGTGGCTCCTTATACCTGCTGGTGAGCGCCTATATGGGCTCATCTTGCAGAGACTCGTCCAAAATCCCTACCTCATAACCGCCCCCCCCCCCCCCCCCCCGAAAAAGAAAGAAGATGCATGCTTCTAAGCTGTGTTGCTACAACACTTAGGATTTCCCAGGTAATCAGCCTGTCTAAAAATCTTTCCTCAAAATAGGGGCAGCCCCTTGCAACCCCCCCCCCCCTCCTCTAAAAAAAATCAAAGAAACATGATACCCTCCATCAGGACCCCCCCCCCCCCCCCCAGCTCTCCTATAACGTTGGTCATGACCAAAATTCCACCTGGACGTCTTGAGCTGGGCCATGTTGAGGGTCTCAGAGTCTCAGGGCAAAAGTGGGGTCGGTTTAGGGCTTAGGGCTTAGGGCTTAGGATTTGGGCTTAGGGCTTAGGGCTTAGGGCTCAGCACGAATGGCAGGTGGAAGCCCTTCAATGCGGATTCCTCCAGCGAAAGATCTACGTTGGTCCTGGTGCCACAGGCCCAACCGCAGACGGACGAGAAGCAGACGGACGAGAAGCAGCAGTCGCGATGGCAGCAGGCGCTGCAGGAAATTCAGGAGATCCCCACATCATTCGGCCAGACTTGGTATCTGGAAGCTGACAAAAACCCGAAGAAGAGAAAGGCCACCATGACCATTCCACAGATCACAGCACGCTCGAAAGTGCTCGTTCGGACAGCCGGCTGCACCTTCAAGCTTGGGCCCAACGAGCTGTGCGAGTGCTTTGGGTGGGGCAGTGAGATCAGCGTGGTCTTAGGGCTTAGGCTTCTTGGATACTGACTTTCTCCTGGCAGGTCGTCAACTACTTTGCGCGAAATGCAGAGCTGACCTCGAAGGTGCGCAGGGGCGTTGAGCTTGTTGCTATGGGACTTAAGGTCCTAAACCCTAAACCCTAAACCCTAAACCCTAAACCCTAAACCCTAAACCCTAAACCCCTAGACCCCTAAACCCCTAAACCCCTAAACCCCTAAACCCTAAACCCTAAACCCTAAACCCTAAACCCTAAACCCTAACCCTAAACCCTAAACCCTACCCCTAAACCCATAAACCCCTAAACCCCTAAACCCCTAAACCCCTAAACCCCTAAACCCCTAAACCCCTAAACCCCTAAACCCCTAAACCCCTAAACCCCTAAACCCCTAAACCCCTAAACCCCTAAACCCCTAAACCCCTAAACCCCTAAACCCTAAACCCCTAAACCCCTAAACCCCAAACCCTCAAACCAATAACCCCTAAACCCTAAACCCTCTCCAGTCTCGACAGGTCGGCCTCTGCAACAGCTTGTACAACTGCTGCACGCTGGACCGAGTCGCCATCTTGGCATTTCAGTGTCCAGGGTTTAGGGTTTAGGGTTTGGATTTTTAGGGTTTCGGGTTTAGGGTTTAATTAGGGTCGAGGGGATCGTGTCTTTGGGCGGGGTTTGGCATTTAGGGGCGATCTGGGTGGTTTGTTTCTGGTACAAGCAGCACTGTGCGAAATGTGTAGGGGTGAAGATATTGGGAGGGTAGTTGGGCTTTGGAGTTTAAAGGGTAGGGTGCTGAGCTGCAGTGCTCGGGCTGTAGACAAGTCTGCGAATGTCAAAAACCCTAAGCCCTAAACCCTAAACCCTAAACCCTAAACCCTAAACCCTAAACCCTAAACCCTAAAGCCTCATCTTGCCGCCGAACCCTAAACCCCAGACCTTGCCCTTAGCCTGGCACTTCGCTCTGCGACGGGGAAGGTCCGCAAGAGTTACCTTGGGGACCAAATGAACCCTAAAACTGGGGCCCTTTACCCTCTACTACTATAATTCCTATTAAGGTATATGAACCATAAACCCTTTTAAGGTTCATTTAGTCCTTAAGGTAAGGAACCCGAAGCCCCGAAAGCCGAAACACTAAACCCTCAGCTGATGCCCTAGTAGGGACCGGGCTTGGTTTTCTCTCCTCCGACCTGCCTTGTGGTGTTGATGGGTGTAGAATTTAGGGCTTAGGGTTTGGGGTTTAGGTTTGCGGTCTAGGGTTTAGGGTTTGGGGCTGAGGGCTTAGGGTTTCGGATTTTGGGGGGGCTAGGAGCCTTCAATTTAAGCACTGAGCCAAATACGTCGTTAGTGTGAGGTCGACGTGAACTCCTTCTATCCGCGCTGCTACGACTTGACCACACCGGCTCAGGCGCAGACGGAGCAGTCGCACATTGATCTTTTTTTTTGTGTGCTGGGGGTTCGCTCATTCAGTGTTCTGCCTTTGGGGCTTTGTCTTCATATTAGGCCTAAGCCCGCAGCCCGAAACCCTAACACCTCAACCCCAAACCTCACCAAAAAGGGACATGAAGCAGGGCTCATATTACTGTTATTCGTGAGTGTATATAAGGTTCCTTTTTAATATTGGTGATGACATAGCGGGTGTCCTTTTGGGGGTACAAGAAATATATACCCTACTTCACATCATTTAGGGCAGCTGCCCTTGGAAAACCCTAAACCCTAAACCCTAGACCCTAAACCCGAAACCCTAAACCCTAAACCCTAAACCCTAAACCCTAAACCCTAAACCCTAAACCCTAAACCCTAAAGAGCAAAGCCCGGATGTTGGACTCCGAGCTTCCCCGACGTCGCAGAATTTGTGGGGTCAGGGCTTGAGATTTCTAGGGCTCAGGGTTTGGGGTTTCTAGGGCTCAGGGTTTGGGGTTTCTAGGGTTCAGGGTCTGGGGTTTCTAGGGGTTAAGGGTTTGGGGTTTCTGGGGTTAAGGGTTTGGGGGTTCTAGGGTTTAGGCTTCTAGGGTGTCTAGGGTTTCTAGGGTTTCTAGAGTATCTAGGGTGCAGGGTTTGGGGTTTCCAGGGTTCAGGGTTTGGGGTTTTGGGCTCAGGGTTTGGGGTTTCTAGGGCTCGGGGTTTCGGATTTCTAGGGTTTAGGGTTTGGGGTTTCTAGTGTTTAGGGTTTGGGGTTTCGAGGGCTTAGGGTTTGGGGTTTCTAGGGTTTCCAGGGCTTCGGGTTTGTGTTTGGGGTTTGGGGATTAGGGTTTAGGGTTTAGGGCTTCACCGACATGCCCTTAAAGGGTCCATGTAACCATGTAGGACATACCTGGCCCCTCCAAGGGAATCTACATAGTAACTGCTGCGTGACCTGCATGTTCCATGCGCAGGTGGCTTGTCAGTCCGACTAAATCTTGGGATGTTCCCCCTTATACCAACAGCCCTTTGTAGGTATTATAGTACCCCCTATTATCACCCCTATAAAGGACTGTTAGCATAAGGGGGAACATCCCAGCCTAAACCCGCGAACCCAACTTGGTTCGCGTGTGAGATGCGGCGCTGTCATGACTTTTGGACACGTCGGGGCTCACAGGGTCTCACTGCTTCGGGTCTGCACTGGCAAAATTTGTCTAATTATATATATATATATATAAGACTATACATATGGAGAGAGAGAGAGTTAGAGAGAGAGATGAGTGAGTGTGTGTGAGGCGGAGCACTTCGTAGAGGACTTTAAGCTGACCACGCCCAGAGCTCAGCGCATCACAGGGACAGGGGTCGAAGGGACTTTCGGGCTTACGGGTCAGGGTTTAGGGTTTTGGGTTTTGGGTTTAGGGTTTAGGGTTTTGGGTTTAGGGAGGCCAGAACCCCCGAAACCCTAAACCATTAACCCGAAAGTTCACCCCTGAATTCCCACCTGTATCCCCTTTTTAAGGACGAGCTGGCATGCTTCTGGGTCACTCCGGGTAAACGCTCGAACCATTCACAGCTGTTCTTTCGTGAACACAAGCTTTTGTTGAGGTTTTTCGAGTTTTCCGATTTGGATAGAGCACTAGAGTAACCGAAGCAACCAGAACAGTCCCCGAGAGGAAGTACATTGGAGCCTCATGCACTCCTAAGACCACGACGCCCCGCACCCCCCCCCCCCCCCCCCAAAAAAAAAGCATGTGTATATATATATATATATGAAAAATAAAAGATAAATATATAAAATAGATAAATAAATACCCCTAAGCTAAGGTGTGGTGAATGAGGAAATTTGGGATGTTCCCCCTGATGCTAAAAGTCCTTAGTAGGTATGATAGTACCCCAAGTATAATCCCTATGATTGTTAGTATAAGGGAGGGACATCCCAAGAGGAAGCTTTCATGCTGGCTCGGGCCTCTTATACACTGCAAAGCGCGAAGAAACGGTTCTACACAACTCAAGGAACACATCTTTCCTTCTCCAGCATACTAGGGTTTAGGGTTTAGGGTTTAGGGTTTAGGGTTTAGGGTTTAGGGTTTAGGGTTTAGGGTTTAGGGTTTAGGGTTTAGGGAAGCTCCAAGGTTCATCCTAAACCAAGCCATGAGTTCATCTTGGCTTGCGCGGAAAGCAGCTGAGCTCACCCACACCTGCGCCAACGACATCGAGAAAGCTGTCGCAGTGCATGATTCTTGGTAGCCCTTGAGAGTTTAGGGTTTAGGGTTTAGGGTTTAGGGTTTAGGGTTTAGGGTTTAGGGTTTAGGGTTTAGGGTGTAGGGACATTTGGGATGTTCCCCCTTATACTAACAGTCCTTAATAGGGGTTCTAATAGGGGGGGGTACTATACTCCCCATGATTCTTGGCAGCCCAGTGGTACCCTTTACCATTCTTTTCGGTTATGGGCTCCCTTATACAGTAGCCAACCCCAAAAAGGGTGCCCTTATTATGCTACGGCTCCTGGGCTGCCAAGGATTTCGTTAGCTCCATTCCTTTCGGCTTCACGCCCTGCTTTGATGCCGCGACACCTGCGGAGACGGTGGAGTTCAATCGCGGCCACTGCAACCCCAAGGGCCGCCTTTTCGTGGGGCTCTGCAGGGAAGCTTGTGCTTGAGGAAATGAACCCTAAAAGGGTTTATGGTCCATATACCTTAAGAGGGAGTAGAATCGCCTTGGGTATATGACCCGCCCCCCCCCCCCCCCCCCCCCCCCCCCCCCCCCTTGTCCCTAAACCCTGAACCCTAAACCCTAAACCCTAAACCTTAAACCCTAAGCCCTGTTCAATTGGTCCCCAAGGAAGCAGGCCTCGAAGCCAAGCAGCACTGGGTCAACATAGACAACAAGATCCTGCGAGGCTTGGGCGATAGCTTCCCTCCCGTTCCTCGGGGAGGTAGGCAACCTTTTGACCTTTTTGGGTTTATAGAATCCTAAGGGTTTAGGGTTTAGGGTTTAGGGTTTATAGGGTTTAGGGTTTGGAGAAATTTCTTTTTGTTATAGCTTTTTTGGGGCTAGGGTGTGCAGCCCCTCAGGTTCTCACGCACAGCTACGCGGAGGTCTTGGTGGCTGGCGCCTGGCGCAAGGTCTTGGTAGCCCAACTCCCCCCAAAAAGGGTTCCCTTTTATTGCAATATGGGGTTTCCGAAAAAAGGGGTACCCTTTTTGGGGTTCCTTTAATCAGGGTTCTACTATGTTGGAGGTATATTCAGGGTACCCCTATTTGGGGAAATAATACCTATATGGTTACCCTAAACACTAAACCCTAAACCCTAAACTCTAAACCCTAAACCCTAAACCCTAAACCCTAAACCCTAAACCCTAAACCCTAAAACCCTAAGCCCTAAGCCCTAAACCCTAAACCAAGCTACCACGAGGTGGACTCCTACATCGTCGACCCCTCCTTGGCGGCAGGCGCGGCCACAAAACTCCAGGCCTCCGGGGCTCAGCTTGGCTACGGCTTCCACTCCCAGGACCCAGGAGTAGGTTTAGGGTTTAGGGTTTAAGGTTTAGGGTTTAGGGTTTAGGGTTTAGGGTTTAGGGTTTAGGGCTACTGGGACCCAGAGAAGGCCCTTGTTCCCCTTTCTTGGGGCTTCCATTCCCAGGGCACCACGACCTGGGATGGCAGGTCAGATGCTTTTAGCCACTCGGGCGGCCCAAGTGGGAGGTTTTGTCTTTGTTGTAGTGTTGCCTTTCTTGGGCTCAAGAGGATCAGATAAAACCCTTAACCCTAAGCCCCAAACCCTTAACCCTAAACCCTAAACCCTTTTCCGAAAGTTTTGAGGGCCATCCCAGGCCAGATGGCGGACCCGGCAATGGTGCTGGAGGATTTGGGCTGCATGGACTGGGAGGAGGTTCAGAACCATGGGAAGCTTGGGTTTAGGGTTTAGGGTTTAGGGTTTAGGGTTTAGGGTTTAGGGTTTAGGGTTTAGGGTTTAGGGTTTAGGGTTTAGGGTTTAGGGTTTAGGGTTTAAGGTTGGTAGCCCAGTGGTACCCTTTACCCTTTTTTTTGGTTTATGGTTGCCCTCATAAAATAACCAACCCCAAAAAGGGGGTGCCCTTATCATAATATGGTTACTGGGCTACCAAGGAAACTTGGACCTGCGACACCCAAAGCCCTAAAGCACACAAGGTTTAGGGTTTAGGATTTAGGGTTTAGGGTTTAGGGACACAGTAGGCAGTTATTCCCTTGTTTTAGGGTTTAGGTTGCCTGATCAGCCCCTTGAAACACAAAAACGGGCTACCCTTGTATTCCAAGGCGACTTGGTAGCCCAGTGGCACCCGTTTGATATGTTTTTTGGTTTTTTGGGTTTCGTCATAAAGCAACAAGACCCAAAACGGGTACCCCTGTTCTACTATGGATACTGTGCTACCAAGGAAATACATGCATCGCATTGGCTCTTTCAACATCACCACGCTTTTGAAGCTTCCTCTCGTGGGTCGCGCCTTCGCTGCCTGGGCGAATCCTGTGGTGAGGGAACTCCAGGGCGGAGACGAGTGAGCAAAACACGCTCATTTTCGCGGTTACAGGGTGGGGCCCCCTTACTATACTAACTGTAGTTAAGGGACTTATAACCTAACTTAGGGTCCTTATAACCCAATTTAGGTAGGGGGCCCCACCCTGTAGGGGCAGATGAAGCTGTCCCCTACACCCCCTAAACCCTCAGACAGACAGAGGTCATGAAAAGTCAAGCTTCGGACGAGAATCCAACTGCGCCCGCCTCTAAAGTTCTGTTGGGTTCACCATTCCCGGCTTGCAGCCTCAGCAGAAGCAGCAGAAGTAGGAGCAGCAGCAGGAGCAGAAGTAGAAGCAGTCGTAGTAGTCATAGTAGTAGTCATAGTAGCAGTCGTCGTAGTGGTCGTGGTCGTGGTCGTGGTCGTGGTCGTGGCGGTGTGGTTGTAGAAGTATTGGTGGTTGGCGTCGTCGTTGTTATCGTCGCAGTAGAAGTAGCAGTAGCAGTGGCAGTAGCAGTCGTCGTCGGGGGACTTGCTTTTGGCGTTGCAGCAAGGATTATAGCTACAGACCAAGCAGCCTCTAAATGTATCATTGTGTGTCGAGCTGCCGCCGCCAAAGCCTACATCCCAAACCCTGAACCCTGAACCCTAAACCCTTAACCCTGTGAACTATAAACCCTAAAGCCCGAATCAGAGCCTGCTACACCACTGGCATACCCTTCGCCCTTCCCAGCAGTAAGTCTCATGGGGTTTGGGTTTAGGGTTTAGGGTTTAGGGTTTAGGGTTTAGGGTTTAGGGTTTAGGGTTTAGGGTTTAGGGTTTAGGGTTTAGGGCCAGGATGTAGAACACGAAACCCTGAACCCTGCAGGCACTGAAGCCCAACTTGACTAGGAATCCCGATCACTGGGTTTTTTGGGGGTGGGCAGGGAAGGGGGAGAGGCACTTTGCAAGCTTAAGGTTAGGTTCACGACTGCAGGGTTTAGGGTTCAAAGCTTGGTTTTCGTTGGTGTAGAGGTCTAGAATTGAGAGTTTTGGGCTCAGAATGTTAGGTTTCGGGTCTAGAGAGGGGGTTTGGGGGTGCCGTGTTGAACAAAACCCTTCTGAGTACTCCCAAGCTACTTTCCCAGAGGGTGCAAGCAGATAAGAAGTACTTTTCGGCTTTGTGATCAAACGCCTTGCCCTTCAAAACACCCCAAAGCCCTTGAACCATAACCCTGTAGAGCCCCAAGCCCCGAAACCCCACATATCCCCTAGAACCCCAAGACCTCCAAAGCCCCGAAACCCTATTTTCTCAACTCTAAAATGCTAAACCCCAAAATCTCTAACCGAAACCCTAAAGACCACAACTCGGCAATGCTAAGCCCCAAACCCTCTAAACCCGAAATCCTGAACCCACCGACCAGAGGTGTCGGTGTCTGCTCCGCCGCTTTGTGGAGCTGGGCGGCCGCTGTGCTCCAGATGGCCCTGCTCCCGGCGTCAAGCGCGGGGATTAGGGGGTTTAGGGTTTGGGGTTAGGGGTTTGGGGTTTAGGGTTTAGGGGTTTGGGGTTTAGGGTTTGGTTTTTTGTGGGTTGGGGTTTAGGGTTCAGGGGTTTAGGGATTCAGGGTTTGGGGCTCAGGCCGTAAAACCCTGCTAGCCCAAATGCCCGAGATGTCTAAAGGCGCGAACCCACAACGTCGGTTTGTGCTTGTCCTTGTGCTTCTCTCTGTGTGGGTGGGTGGGGGGTTGAGGGTGGCAGAGGGGGAGAGGGGTGTACGGTTTCGGGTTTATTAGGGTTGTTTAGGGTTTTGGGTTTAGGGTTTAGGGTTTGGGGTTTCGGGTTTAGGGTTTAGGGTTTAGGGTTTATACGCCCAGGCATCCCCTGGAAAGCCTACCCGCGCGAAGTCGTCCAAGCAGCCCTGGATGTTTGCAGGCCATCGGCTGCCAGGGATTCTTCGAGTAGTTGGCTTAATGTTTTGGTTTGTTGGGGTTTAGGGTTTAGGGTTTAGGCTACTTGGACCCAGAGTAGGCCGGAGTCCCGTTTTTCCCCACCCTGCTCCTCGCCCGGAAACTCTTCTCCTCGCCCGGTCTACTCTTCACTCATCCCTGGAGTGCCCAAGCCCAAAGCAACCCCCAGAGTCTCCCTGGAGTGCCCAACTCCAGAGCTCCTCTAGAGATGTGCCCAACCCAGAAGCCCCAAAGTCTGCCGGGAGCGCCCAACCCCAGAGTGTGCCCGGAGTGCTCAGCGCCAGAGTCTCCCTGGAGTGCCCAAGCCCAGAGTCTCTCTACCAAGAGAGGCTGGGGACGTTCGAAGAAACATTATGTTTTGGGCTTGAGGTTGCCTTAGAAGCCCCTTTAGGATACGGTACTCTGTTGACTCCTATGTTGCTTGGTAGCCCAGGGAACCCAAGAAGAGTGGTAGAAGCGGCATTTGTTTACATTGTTTATAGAGTATACCTATAGCAAAGAATAATTCAACACGGGTATGGGTTTAGGGGTTTAGGGGTTTCGGGGCTTAAGATTTAGGGATCAGGGAGCCCCGAAGCCTACATAAACCTAAGCACCATGCCTTGGCGAGTTTATCAGGGATCCGGCACGCAAAGTTAACGCCGAAGAAATACTCAGCATACCCCGTGCCATACCCTTGAAAGACATTCGGGGGGGGGGGGGGGGGGGGGGGCACGGTAAAATCCTTCCTTGTATTCCCCCTTCATAGGTTAAGGGGTACCCAAACCCTAAACCCCAAACCCTGAACCCCAAACCCTAAACCCCCTAAACCCTAAACCCTAAACCCCGAAAACCCAACAGTGTTGGTGACGCAGGCGTCAAGCCAGGGCAGTGGACGACTCCCTCGATGAGGCGGCAGCCTAAGCCCAGAAAGGGTTTTGGGGTTTAGGGTTTAGGGAATCAGGGTTCAGGTTTAGGCTTTACGTTTTGGGTTTAGGGATTTAGGGGTTTAGGGTTTAGGGTTCAGGGTTTCGTGTTCTAGGGCTTTGGGCTTTTTAAGACTTTAAGGGTTTCAGGGCTTTGGGGGCTTTAAGACGTTTAAGGGTTTTTAGAGTTCGGGGCTTTTAAGACTTTAAGGGGTTTAAAGACTTTAAGGGTTTTCAGGGCTTTGGGATGCTTTTTGAGACTTTAAGGATCTGTTTGGGGGGGCTTTTTAAAACTTTAAGTTTTTCCGTGATGTACGAACCCTGACTTTCACTCTTCTGAGCTTAGGGCTCAGGGCTCAGGGCTCAGGGCTCAGGGCTCAGGGCTCAGGGCTCAGGGCTTAGGGCTTAGGGCTTAGGGCTTAGGGGCTTAGGGGCTTAGGGGTTCTTGGCTTAGGGTCCTCATTCTTGGCGATTGTCAAGCGCGAAGTCCGTCAACGCTGGCCGATCGCCTGCGCTCGCTAAGGCTTGGGTGCCCGCCATTTCCGACGAGGAGTGGGCCATCGTCAAGGCCATCCTCTGGGGTTCTCTTCGGGTGCACGGGGTGCGTTTACTTTTTTGTAAGGGTCCATGTACCTATATAGTATATACTTGGGCCTCAAAGGGGTTCTCATATAGCAGCTATAGGGGCCAAGTATGTCCTATATAGGTACATGGACCCTGAGGGTTCGGGCTTCAGGAGATATCGAAGGCACTAATTACTGCTGAGTTGTTAGGCCGGTTAGGGAGGCGATTGGACTCTGGGATTGCAATATTTCAACGGCGGTTTAGGCTTTAGGTTTAGGGTTTAGGGTTTAGGGTTTAGGGTTTAGGGTTTAGGGCGTCCAGAAATGCTAGGGCTCTATAGCTACGAAGAGTTTAGGATTCTCGGGAGCAGTGCGAGTTTTCGGGAGTTGGCGCTCAGCCCTAAACCCGAGCCCGAAACCCAAAACCCTAAACCCTGATCCCTGAACCCTAAACCCTCGCCCTAAACCCTGAACCCTGAACGCTAAACCCTAGCCCTAAACCCTATAGCCCTAGACCCAAGAAAGACTAAAGCCCTGTGAGTCCTTTCGGGGTCCATCCAGGGAGTGCTTTCACTGAAAGGGGGCCATGTGCCCTAGGCTATTCTAGTGCCTATTCAGGTTTATGGACCTGAAACCCTAAACCCTAGCCCTAAACCCTAAACCCTAAACCCTAAACCCTAAAGCCCCAAATCCCTTTAGGCTTCATGCCGATGACTAGGATCCCTTGCGAGGAGGAAGGGGAAATCCATCCCCAAACCCTGGAAACCCTAAAGCCCCAACTCCATGCAAGCCGGAGCCCTGAACCCTAAACCCTAAACCCTAAACCCTAAACCCTAAACCCTACACCCTAAACCCTAAACCCTAAACCCTAAACCCTAAACCCTAAACCCTAGTCTAAATTCAGCATCCGCCCTGTCAGGTCTGGTCCTTGAAGACTCCGGGAAAGCGGGTCGAGGCCGCTATGCCCTACAATCCCGCCTACACTCTAAGGGTAGTTTCATGGGTTTAGGGTTTAGGGTTTAGGGTTTGGGGTTTAGGGTTTAGGGTTTAGGGTTTGGGGTTTGGGGTTTAGGGTTTAGGGTTTGGGGTTTAGGGTTTAGGGTTTAGAGTTTAGGTCCCTTGCCTTCTTAAACGGTTTAGGGTTTAGGGCTACATGGTTGGTTGGTTGGTCCTCTACTTCCTTTAAAGGGTTCTGAAGTATGGGCCCATGGGTTGTCCAGGGTATGTAAGGGGTATACAAGGGTCTAAACCCTAAACCCTAAACCCCAAATTCTGCAGCGCCAGGCCTTGGGTGCTCCCAAGGCAAAGGCCGAGGCGCGGCCGAGCTTGGTTTAGGGTTTAGGGTTTTAGGGGTTTAGGGGTTTAGGGATTTAGGGGTTTAGGGGTTTAGGGGTTTAGGGTTTTAGGGTTTAGGGGTTTAGGGGTATAGGGGTTTAGGGGTTATAGGGTTTAGGGGTTTAGGAGTTTTGGGTTCAGCGGTTTAGGGTTTAGGCTTTGGGGCTTGGGCTTTATGGTTTGGGGTTAGGGTTTGGGTTTCGGGTTTAGGGTTTGGTGTTTAGGGTTTCGGGTGTAGGGTTTGGGGTTTAGGGTTTGGTGTTTAGATTTTGGGGTTGAGGGTTTGTGGTTTGGTGTTTAGGGTTTCGGGTTTAGGGTTCAGGGTTAGGGGTTTGGGGGATTAAGATCAGGTTCTGGGGGTTGGGGATTTACGCTTCAGGGCTAGGGGGTTAGGCTTCAAGGTTTTTTTTCTGGTGTGAGGGTTTAGGGGCTTTAGGTCTTGTGCTAGGAGCTTTGGCGTTTTGAGGTGTTTGGGTGAAGATTACAGGGGATGCTTTGAGTGTTTCTAGGGTTTTGTGGAAGGCCTTCCCAATCGCTTTGCGTCATATGCCTTGCATTTTGTCCAAGCACTCATGGGGCTTATGATTATGGTTTAAAGGGTTTATGGTTTACAGGGTTTAGGGTTTAGGGTTCAAGATCTAGGGCTTACAGTTTAGAGTTTATTGGGGTTTAGGGGCCAATCCTGCCATGTGTTCTTTGAGGTGTTGCCTGAAGCCTGTGCAGACGACGTAGACATGGAAGAGGACTGGGCGCAGTTTTCCCGGAAACCCCGCGTTCTAAACCCTATAAGCCCTTTAAAACCCTCTATACTACCCCCGCCGAGGTTCCCCCCTTGAATAACCTCAATTAGGTTTTTTACCCCTAAATTGCCATTATTGGGGGAACCAAGGAGAACCCCATAGAGGGGGGTAGTAGGGGAACCCATGAAAAGCGAAAGCTGTACAAAGATCGTCCTCACGTGTGCCGAAATTCCCACAAAACCACGGCCCGCCAGGTCTAGGGTTTAGGGTTGAGGGTTGAGGGTTGAGGGCTCTGACTCCTAAACGCACTTAACCCTAACCCCCAGACCCTAAACCCTAAACCCCAAACCCCAAACCCTAAACCCTAAAGCCCAAACCCTAAACCCTAAACCGCAGCCTGAGCTCGGGAACCCTAAACCCTAAACCCTAAACCCTAAACCCTAAACCCTAAATCCTAAACCCTAAACCCTAAACCCCAAATCGAAGTACTGCCCATGAAAGAACCGGGCTCCGTTGGGACAAGAGCCTTGGGCTTCTGGTAATGCGGGGAATTTGGGGGTTTAGGGTTTAGGGTTTAGGGTTTGGGGTTTGGGGGTTGGGGGTTGGGGGTTTAGGGTTTGGGGGTTAAGGGTTTCCACGCCTTAGAGTGTTGGACCAATCTCTTGCACATTCGGAGTTGCAAAATTTGGGGTCTACCCCCTTCGTTTGCACACCAGAAATGCATAAGGGGGCGGCCCGTATTGTTACTTACACTACATGCATGTGTTGGGGACTTCTAAAGGCATAGGCATCAAAAAATAATAAGCATCAAAAAGAAAAATAATAGGGATCAAGAAAAAAAGAATAAGGTTCAAAAAAAAATAAGCCATCCGGCCCACCTGCGTGGTCCTCTGGTCCCGTGGTCCTCTGGTCCCGTGGTCCTCTGGTCCCGTGGTCCTCTGGTCCCGTGGTCCTCTGGTCCCGTGGTCCTCTGGTCCCGTGGTTGTCTGGTCCCGTGGTCCTCTGGCCGTGGTCCCTGGTCCATGGTCCCCTGGTCTTGTGGTCCCCTGGTCCTCTGGTCCTCTGGTCTGCTTGTGTGTCCGGCTGGTCCTGCGGGTCCTATGCATATAAATAAACAATAAAATTAGACAAATAAATAAAATCTAAATGTAAATATATATATATATATATATATATATTATATACACACACGATAGTGAAGGTCAACGTGTGTGTATATATATATATATGTATGTATGTATGTGCATATATATATATATATATACATACTACATAATACACATTACATTACACATTACCTATTATATACTATACATTATATACTATATATTACATATTATGTTTTATGTATTATGTATTATGTATTATGTATTATGTATTCTGTATTTTGTATTATGTATTATATTATGATTCTATTTATGTTTTTTTTTATGTTGTATGTATTAATGTATTATGAATTAATATTTTATGGTGTATATTGTGTATTCTGTATTATGTATTATGTAATCATGTCTTATGTGTTATGGATTATGTCTCATGTATTATAATTTTATTATGTCGTATGTACTATGTATTATGTATTATTTATTATATAATATATATATATATATATATATTATATAATATTTATTATACAATTATATATTATATATTATATTAATTATTTATATTATATATATATATATATATATATATTATATGATATTATATTACATAGATTATATATATATTATATATTATATATATTATATATATTATATAATATAATATTTATATATTATCTATATTTAATATAGTATAACCATATATTATATTTATATATATATCTTTTTAATGAAATAATTATATATATTATATATAAGATTAAACTTATAATCATGTGTGTATATATATATACACACACTATACTTATATATATACATATACATATACAATATATATATATAATATTATTTATATTTACATTTATATTTTCATATTGTTGTAACATTATTGAATATGTATGTATATAAATAAGTAAATATAAATATGAATAATATATATAGATATATATATATATATATAATATCGCAATATTGTATATTTATGTCATATATTGCTATCATATATTGTAATTTGTATATTATACACTGCTATAATGCATGATATAAGTATATAATATGTAATATATACTATTACACAATATACAAATATATAAATATATAATATTATTTATTATTAATTAATGTATTATTTATCTTCATTATATAGTAAATTTTGTATATTATGTAATGCCTTATATATTGTTCTTTGAAGCCATTGGAATGCAAATAAAATGGTTTTTTGCTTAAAACATGTAGAATAGAGTTTTTTCCGATGGAAACATAGAGATAATAGAACATGAAACAATGAAACCACACACTTTAAAAAAAAAAAAAAAAAAAACTATTTCCATGGATTAACAGCATCATAATTTCTTGCTTGACAAGATTTCCATATTAACCAAACAAAGCACACGCTTCCTTTGCCAGCTGCCGCTGCTGCTGCTTCGGCCGCCGCTTCATCTTTGAGCTTTTTCTTTCCTGGGTCGCTCAGAGCTTATGGGGCCTGTAGTAGATTCAGAGCTGTTCCGAAGCATGCTCTCCCCCTGTTGCTCTTGATTTCGCTTGCCCCAAGCCCCCCCGTAAGGACTTCATCAACCTCGTCCCACCTTATAGGCACAGCCGCGGGTTGAAAGCTAGGTTCCGGGTCGCGAGGTCGCGATGTCTATCCCCTGCTTAGCTGTACGAACTGCAAATTCTCACGCTTGTTGTTGTATAGTTTTGGGCCCCTTGCGGAAGCAAACGATGTCTGTGTCCCAAGCCGCTTGTGCTCATCTACATCCATTCCTCCTGCGCTCCTTTGCCGTCATGACGCGAGTGGTGCTGGACTGGTGCCATCACAGCCCATGTCAAAAGCCGCACAGGTGTGCAATGTTGCTTCAGTGCTGGGGTGCTTCATGAAGAACACTTGTGGCTTGCGCAGGCCTACAGGCGCCCGAGCTCTCGGACTCGTTTCCTTGATCTGCGCGACATGTTCTGCGCAGCAGGCATGATTCAAACCCTGCCCTTTTCATTCTTGTATCTTTATGGGGTGGTTCTTGTCAATAAGCAGAGGCGGCCTGCAGGTGAAAGACCTATGCCGTGAATATGCGGCTATCGCGAATGACCCCGGCGCTTCGCCGCCGGAGGCCGTCGCGTGGGCTTCTCCTGCCGCTCACCTCGATCGGCTGATGGTGAAGAACAGGAATGCTTACCCCTACCAAGACTTGATCGTTTCAAGTGAACTTGGATGATCCTCAGTCCTTCGCTTCTTTAATCTTGCCCAGAACCCAGGTCCCCAACACACAAGAAACCTGCAGAGAATAGATCAGCATGCTTTCTCAGTCCGCCAGTAGACGTTTTCTTGTGGGAGTATGAAGAAATAGAGGCTTTCCCATTGAAAGATCGAGAAAATAGAAGGTTTTCCAACCACTACCACCACTTCTACGCATCGTGCGAACATTGTTTGCAAATGGGGGGGGCTGCGCCCCCCCCAAACCCCCCGCTGTTTTTTTAAGCTGTGCAAAGCGTGCTGCAAAGCCAAGTGGGGGGGGGGGGCTGCGCCAACCCCAACCCCCCCGCGTTTTTATCAAGCTGTGCCACTGCAAAGCGTGCTTTATGAATCTTGTTGAAGCCATTGGGATACTAAAAAGTTTAAGTTTTTCTTAAAATATATGGAAATAGAGGTTTTCCGATGGAAACATAGAGATGATAGAGGTTTCCTATGAAAACGGCTTGGGTTTTTTTTGATGCTTATTTATTTTTTTGATCCTTCACCCACTTCTAAAGAGGGGGGCACGGAGTCGCAAAGTTGCAGATGACAAACACCATTGGCAGCGATGTTCTGTGTTTGCAAAAAAACGTTTTCTCGCTTTGCTCCCAAATTCACACCTGCAGCCAAACAGTGTCGTCCCAAGCTTTCTTCGGAGGCAAGGTGTCTGGCACGGCTTTGCTGTATGCCGCCACAGCATCGCGAAGAATACTTTCTTTGGGGTTCAAAGTCTAGACGAATCTGCTCAAAACTCTGAGTGAGGGAGGATCTAGCACGATGGGATGAATGCGTCTGGACCATCACCACAAGCCCGAACGGTACACGCTAAGCAGTATCAATCGCGCTCTGGCTTTGTTTCGCTGTTTCCCCGAAGCCCTAATTGCCCCAAACCCTAAACCCTAAAACCCTAAAACCCCAAAGCCCTAAAACCCCGAAACCCTGAAACCCTGAAACCCTGAAACCCTGAAACCCTGAACCCCTAAACCTAAACCCCAAAACCCTGAACCCTTATTCCGAGACCCTAAAGATTTACTGTACACCCGGACCCTAAATCCTGAGCCCATCATCCCGAAGCCCTACACTGTTACACCCGGGTTTTAGGGTTTTGGGTCTAGGGTTTAGGGTTTTAGGGTTTAGGGTTTAGGGTTCTCCCTGAACGCCCCTCATTATGGGAACCTAGGGGGGTGGTGTAGAGGGGGTAGTAGGGGAACAAACCATCCCGAAGCCCTAACCCTTAAGCCCTAAACCCTAAACCCTAAACCCGGGACCCTAAACCCTAAACCCTAAACCCTAAACCCTAAACCCTAAACCCTAAACCCTAAACCCTAAACCCTGCGCATGTTGAACCTCTGAAGGACGTGGCGCCAGAGCCCTCCCAGGAGTCCCCACGCCCCCCCCAAAACCCGAAACCCTCTTTTGGGGTTTAGGGTTTTCAGTTTGGGGTTTAGGGCTTAGGGTCAAGAACCCCAATTCATGGCAGCTGAGGTTCAGGATCTCTTCTGGGCCTGAGGTTCTTTGGGTTTGTAAGGCTTAGGGCTTAATGTTTGGCGATTCTCCTCTATTTGGGGGTAAGACTCACTGCCCTGCCGAGGAGCTACTTGAAAGCCTTAAACCCTAAACCCTAAATTCCGACGACTGGCGGAGTTAGGGTTGAGGATCTAGGGTTTAGGGGCTCTAGGGTTTAGTGTTTAGGGACTAAGGCCTGGGCCCTCAACCGCTGGAGTTTTGGCTTGTGCCTTGGAGCCCTTAAACCCCAAACCTTCTGATCACGGCTTTTGGGTGCCAACTGCTCTTAAACGCCCTGCCTAAACAGTGGTCCAGGGCAAAAATGGGTCCCCTGCAGGTGCTATTTTTCCTAAACCCAAAACCCTAAACCCCACCCTAACCCCTAAACCCCAAACCCTAAACCTCAAACCCTAAACCCTAAACCTCAAACCTACATGTACTTTAAACTGAGGGTCCGAGGCTTCAGTTCAAGCTTCCGGGTTTCTGTGGTCGAGGGCTTCATTGCAAGATGTGTTTAGTGTTTGGGGTTTAGATGGTTTAGGGGTTTAGGGTTGAGGCTTTAGGGTTTAGGGTGTGCAGTGTGTTTTCCGGTTTGGGGGTTCAGGCCTTCTGGATCTTTGGGTCTGATGGCTTGCGGCAGGAATTTGCGGGCTATGGGCTCTCCATTTCCCATGAGGATCCACAAGCGTTTAGGGTTTTTAGGCTGGGGGCTGCGGGGTTTAGTATTTATAGGCCTTAGGGTTTAGGGTTGGTAGGGCTTAGGGCTTAAAGGGTGTATAAGGCTTGGGGTTTAGGGTTTCTAGGGCTTAGGGTTTAGTAATTGCCAGGCTTAGAGGGCTTCGGTTTTAAGGTTTTAGAGTGTACAGGGCTTAGAGGTTGAGGTTTCTAGGCTTCAAAGGGTTTGGGCTTAGTGAACAGGAGAGCGGCGGCAAGGTGGATGAGGTCCAGACAGGGTTGGTGCTATGGTTCCCTTTCAAGGTATGTTTTCCCTACTTTTGGACCCAAGCAAATATAAAGACTATGATCAACCTAGGAAGAAAATGGGTACCCTTTTTGGTTTAGAGGGATTGACAGGGGGACCCAAACCCAAAAGAAAGGGAATATGGGACTGCTCTGGAACCTAGTAGGGACGTACTCCGAGTTTAAGGTTTAGGGTGGTTCTCAGGGCAGTAGAGGGTAGAGAGTGCGATGCCTGTGTGCAGCACGGCCCTTGACGCCCTATGCACGGCAGTCCTTATCTCCCTTGCACCTGACTGAATTATCCTAAGCCCCTAAACCGCCCTAAACCCTAAGCCCTAAACCCTTTTTGGGCTGAGGGTTTAGGTATTATAGGGCTGCGGCCTGTTTTCTGTCTCCTGCACATGAGAGGTGCTGTTGGCAGAGGCACTGGAGGTCCATGAGGCTGGTGGGATGTGTCTGGGGTTTAGGGTTTAGGGTTTAGGGTTTAGGGTTTAGGGTTTAGGGTTTAGGGTTTAGGGTTTAGGGCTAGGGTTAAGGAGCTCGGAGCTTTCGCTTAGGAGGGTTAGGAGGTCTAGGGAAGTTGAGCATCCCCAGCGTTGAGTGTTTAGGGCTTTTCTTAACGTTGAAGACTTGTCTGAGCTGCTAAACTGTACTGCGCGTGCGTTGGGTGGGGGGGGGGGGGGTGTGGGGGCAATTCTGAAGGCTATGAATCCCCTACGCCCTAAACCCGAACCCCTGGAGGGTTTAGGTTTAGGGCACAGGAGGTTTACAGGGTGGGGCCCCCTAGTTATAAGTAGAGTTATAAGGGCCCTAAATGGTTATAAGGACCCTAAGTTAGGTTATAAGTCCCTTAACTACAGTTAGTATAGTAAGGGGGCCCCACCCTGTAGGGTAAAGGAGGCGTTTCAGGAGGTCGAGTTCAGAACGTTTAGGGTTTAGGGATTGGGGAAGGAGAGCATCCGTAGGGTGGAGGGTTTAGGGTTTAGGGTTTAGGTTTTAGGGTTTAGGGTTTAGGGTTTAGGGTTTACGTTGAAGACTGTCTGAGCCACTAAACTGAACTATACTGCGCGTGTTTGGGGGGGGGGGGGGGGGAATCCAAAGGAAATGAATCCCCCAAAACCGAAACCGTAAACCCTAATTCCTAAACCCTCTCTTACTATGTATATTTAAACCCTAATGACCTTCGTCGGCAAATGGTTTTTTTCCACCCGGGGGGGGGGGGCCCTAAACCCTGACCCCCTTCGTCGGCAAATGGTTTTTTTCCACCCGGGGGGGCCCTAAACCCTGACCCCCTTCGTCGGCAAATGGTTTTTTTCCACCCGGGGGGGGCCCTAAACCCTGACCCCCTTCGTCGGCAAATGGTTTTTTTCCACCCGGGGGGGGCCCTAAACCCTGACCCCCTTCGTCGGCAAATGGTTTTTTTCCACCCGGGGGGGCCCTAAACCCTGACCCCCTTCGTCGGCAAATGGTTTTTTTCCACCCGGGGGCCCCCCCAAAACACCCCAAATGAGGGGGACCCCAGGATCGGCCCCGGCCCCAGTTCAAAATGCGATTTTTTAGTATTGAAATCGACGGTTCTGGGTGGCCTCCTGTTTTCTGGTTTTTTGACCAAAACCGGGGGGTGCCCTCAACCCTGACCCCCTTCGTCGGCAAATGGTTTTTTTCCACCCGGGGGGGGGCCCTAAACCCTGACCCCCTTCGTCGGCAAATGGTTTTTTTCCACCCGGGGGGGGGCCCTAAACCCTGACCCCCTTCGTCGGCAAATGGTTTTTTTCCACCCGGGGGGGGCCCTAAACCCTGACCCCCTTCGTCGGCAAATGGTTTTTTTCCACCCGGGAGGGGGCCCTAAACCCTGACCCCCTTCGTCGGCAAATGGTTTTTTTCCACCCGGGGGGGGCCCTAAACCCTGACCCCCTTCGTCGGCAAATGGTTTTTTTCCACCCGGGGGGGCCCTAAACCCTGACCCCCTTCGTCGGCAAATGGTTTTTTCCACCCGGGGGGGGGCCCTAAACCCTGACCCCCTTCGTCGGCAAATGGTTTTTTTCCACCCGGGGGGGGCCCTAAACCCTGACCCCCTTCGTCGGCAAATGGTTTTTTTCCACCCGGGGGGGGCCCTAAACCCTGACCCCCTTCGTCGGCAAATGGTTTTTTTCCACCCGGGGGGGGCCCTAAACCCTGACCCCCTTCGTCGGCAAATGGTTTTTTTCCACCCGGGGGGGGCCCTAAACCCTGACCCCCTTCGTCGGCAAATGGTTTTTTCCATTTGGGGCATAGGGTTTAGGGCTCGTAGGGTTTGGGGCATAGGGTTTAGGGCTCCCAAAACACCCCAAATGAGGGGGACCCCAGGATCGGCAAGGGTCCCAGTTAAAAATGGGTTTTTTTAGTACTGAAATCGACGGTTCTGGGTGGGCTCTCGTTTTCTGGATTTTTGACCAAAACCGAGCCTTCACCGATCGGGGCTTCTAAACCGTAGGGTTTAGGGCCCTAAGAGCATAAAGGGCTTATTGCGGGCCTTAG